GTTTTGCCTGTTTTTGCTCAATTTCGACAACAAAAATCATTCCAAACACAGCCATAGCGCCGTTTTGCGTCTCTAAGCAACATGACAGCGTTTCGTTCCTGAATTAATCAACCGTTTGAATGATTCGATTCAATCGCAATGACTCACTTATTAACAGTGACTTGCTGCCACCTACTGGCGGTTTTAATTTCACATTTAAAGTATCTTTCATTATTTAATTAATTTCAAATATCAGTATTCAACGTTTTGTTTAATATATCAAAACATTGTTTATGCATTTGTAATTGCAGGTTAAATGCATTCGTGTTCTGCACTAATCAGCAGTGTGTAAATACATCTAAATGCCACTTCAGATGCAGCTTCTGTGTTTCCTCTGCATTGCAAAGATGAATTTTATTGATACTGATTTCATTTGCTTGGTAACAACCCAAAATGTCTTAATATTCTAATTCACTGATTAAATGTAAGAATTTGACTCAAAAGATAATGCACACTTTTAGAAAAAAAGGCCAATAAAAGGTAAAAATCACTTTAAACTTATTGGAAAAGATTAATTTCTCTCAGTGTGAACTGACCACCACACAGAATATGAAGAATATTAAAACCTTTAGGAGTCAGCTGTCCACGAAAGTCCTTAAGATACCAGCACAATAACACACTCAGCAAAATATCGTCTAATTATCGTTATCGATAAAATACCAGAAAATATCGAGATATTATTTTTTGTCAGTATCGCACACCCCTACTTGTGAGCTTGACATATTTCATGTTCATAAGGTGAAACACTTATAAACGTGTCGTATCAAACCTGTTGACGGTGGACCTCTAGAAGCTGATATAGAAGTGCCAAAAACAACGTTCACGTATATAATAATTGCATTAATAACAATAAACGCCAACACATTGTAAAGCTTTCCAGGAAACTCCCATTTATCGACCTTGAGAGAGATTGGTCAAACTAATCATATGAATTTACATATTAATGTACTAATAGAGTGTTTACAGAGCTCAGGTAAATACAGGAAAATACTCGATATTGCTGTGTAACGAGCAGGAGGTCATGAGCGCTGCTGCTAGGCTAACGGTGTTTCTGATTCTGCTCAAATCTAATCAAGCTCTGTTACGACAAGACTATCAATCGCTTTCTGCACGTAAATGGAACGAGGACACGCATAAAGATCTTAAATCTCACCCTTAAGTGCCTAAACATGGTGATAATGTCTCCTTCAGACCGCAATGTTCAGGAAGCCGCACCTGCACAAGGACACTTGTAAATGTCACTTCCTTCTTCTGCTCGAGTCTGACGCAGGATTAGCGGCGAGAGGCGCATTACTGCCGCCTACCGGACAGAGCCGTTTGGTTTGGGAGGTCCGGTTCTTTCGAGAATCGGTTCGTTCGGACAAGTCCGGTTTCAATTAATTGGCTCGAAAAAAGATTCACGTAGCCGCCCGTTCATCCTTAAGACACATTTCTGTTATTTATTTCTTTGTACGTGTGTGGGTGTTAATGCAAACAGCATACATTTAGTCAGAATTGTAAAATTTCACCCTAATTTCCTTTCATAAATCTATTTTATACTAGGTAGGCCTAGAATACATAGCTACATTATGTAAAACTGGCAAAGGGTTTTATACTGAAATATTATTTTTGGTAGTTATGATCATTCAGGACTGATGTCGGTAATAAAATAGCAATGTCAGTGAAAAAGGACCTACGTGTAATTTTTTTAAACTGATGCACAAGGTGTTCGCTCGGTTAAATATTATTATTGATAAGCTAAGCATGTTTTATTTTACTACTCATAAGAGAAATGTTAAAGAACTTGAGGAGGTTACACATAAAACCAAACTTCTTTCTTAAATTTACAAACACCTTGTGTTCGACAAAATCATAAAAAAAAAAAAAAGGCACTATGCAAGGTTCATGAGAAACGGACACATTACTAGGCTCTTGGGAGTAATAAAAAAATGCATTAAAGGCTTTATGCTAACTGAAATCTTAATGAAATCTTAATGAAATCCCAACATCTCAACCTCTGCCTTGTCATTCCAGCCAGTCTTTGGGTGGTACAACATTAGGAGCACATAGATACTCAAAAAATCTAAAATAGTAGTAGTTACAGATGTTTAAACTACATTTAAGCGGCAAATCAAGACTTTTCTAGGCGAAAAGGGGAACTTTTCCAGCAAACTCCCACAAAAGCACCACAGCACGTCTCAGCACTCATGCATTTGATGTTTATTATCACACAACTCTTGAGCAAATGAAACGACTTTGGCTCAACAACAGACATGAGCTTGATAAAGGATCCTCAGTAGTTGCGAAACACACACATATCCTTTTTAAATACACATTGCACAGAACATGTTTTTCAGAGAAGAAACAAAAAAAATGAACACGCTTGCTTTAAGCATATCTAGACACTCACAGTTCAGCATTTTAAATAATAAAGTAACATAATCCTTACTGATCAGTCAAACTATCAGAAATATTGCATTCTTATTAAAAATAAATAATAATTCTTGACTGTTGTGATTGTACCATACCATTAGCAATAATACCCAAATGGATGAATTTCACCAAGTCTGTCAAAAACACCTCAAAATCGAATGAGAATTTCTATTTTGCACAATATGTATCTTAAACGTCAATACAAAGTGCTTCATTGTCTGTATTATTATTATAGACATGTTTTTGTGGTGGGATGCATTTAAATACAGTTCTACTGTATGACTGCACATCATCCAGTTATTCTAAAATACTTCATGTAGAAAGAGCATAAAATATGAAGCTTTGGTGTGGATGAAATAAATGCTTAAAACAAGCTCATAGAAAACTGCCAGTGCATACATAATACGTTTGAAAGTATTGCACCTGTGTGTGTACAGCAGCATGAGATACGACAGACTGTAATCTCATGTCAGTGTACAGACAGAGTGTGCTGATAATTACGCAGTTAATTAGGAATGTCAGCATTGTTGTTGCGGTTGCCGTATTTATGGTGGATGATCAGCAGCACCACTCCCAGGAAGAAACACACGGAGCCCACGGTGATGTAGGCAATGCCCAGGAAAGGGTTCTTCCCTCCCATCCAGGAAATCGTGCTGAGGATCATGCGCTTGCGGCCATCAAAGCTGCGCACTGGGTAATCTGGGTTCACATTATTAAAGAATCTCGTCGAATTATTTCAACATGCATTTCATTTCAAACATACTTCAACAGTCGTTTACACTTAAAGGGATAGTTCACCCCAAAATGAAAATTCTGTCATCATTTACTCCGTACGTTGTTCTAAACCTGTATGAGTTTCTTTCTTCTGTCAAACACAAAAGAAGATATGTGACCCTGGACCACAAAACCAGTCAATTCTCGAAATTGAGATTTATACCTCACCTGAAAGATGAATGAATAAGATCTGGGTTCACATTATTAAAGAATCTCGGCGAATTATTTCAACATACATTTCATTTCAAACATACTTCAACAGTCGTTTACACTTAAAGGGATAGTTCACCCCAAATGAAAATTCTGTCATCATTTACTCCGTACGTTGTTCTAAACCTGTATGAGTTTCTTTCTTCTGTCAAACACAAAAGAAGATATGTGACCCTGGACCACAAAACCAGTCAATTCTCGAAATTGAGATTTATACCTCACCTGAAAGATGAATGAATAAGCTTTCCACTGATGTATGGTTTGTTAGGATCGGACAATATTTGGCCGAGATACAACTATTTGAAAATCTGGAATCTGAGGGTGCAAAAAAATCTAAATACTGAGAAAATCAAGTTGTCCAAATGAAGTTCTTAGCAATGCATATTACTAATCAAACATTAAGTTTTGATATATTTATGGTAGGAAATTTACAAAATATCTTCATGGAACATGATCTTTACTTAATATCCTAATGATTTTTGGCATAAAATAAAAATCGATAATTTTGACCCATACAATGTATTTTTGGCTATTGCTACAAATATACCCCAGCGACTTAAGACTGCTTTTGTGCTCCAGGGTCACATATAAAAGTGTGGGTAACCAAACAGTTTTTGGCCCCTATTGACTTTCATAGTATTTTTTTCCCTCCATACTATGGAAGTCAATGGGGACCAGCAACTGTTGGGTTAACCACATTCTTCAAAATACCTTCTTTTGTGTTTAACAGAAGAAAGAAATTCATACCGGTTTGCAACAACTTGTAGCTTCAGTAAATGACGACAAAATTTTGATTTTGGGGTGAACTGTCCCTTTAAGGCAAGACACTCCAGGTGAATAGGGTAAAAAATGTAACAACATCATACATATCACCCCAGTTAATTGTTTATATTAAGAGTTTCAAATTCTGAAATTGTTTAAATATGACAATTAGGCATTATCTAATTAAAGCTGCAGTCTGTAACTTTTTTGTGTTCAAAATTTACAAAATGTATATAATAAGCGAGTACACCATGAATCAATTTTCCAAACCGTGTTTTTGGCTTGTTCTGAATCACTACGGTACACCTATAATAAGTGTTTATATTCGGACTATTTAGACTGGTTCAGGTAGGTACCGCTGCGGAGTAGCCCAGTACCTGCGTGATTCGCCATACATAAACAGAGAGAAGTAGCTCCGGCTACAATGTTCTTCCGCAAGACGCACGTAGTTCTGTTTATTAACCGCTAGAGCGCCAAAAGTTACGGACTGCAGCTTTAAATATTCACTTATTTGCTTTCATAAAGCAAATTCCAAATTCTATTTCACACACTTCCATAAAGCCAGGTGTTTACAAAAGGGATTTTGGATTTCTCTTCATATCACTCTATAAATCAGAAATTACCATCAACCGCCAAAAAAAGGATAAAATGCTGTATAAAATCAGGTGAGTGATATATGAACAAGCCCTCTGTAAAAATCTTCAGAATAAGTTTGGTGTAATGATTTTTGTGCTGCTGTAGTAAAGAAAAAACTCACAGCCTTTATAAATATGTATTCTAACCTACAGACACAAATAGATAATGTGCATTAAAACAAACACTCAAATGTGTGTTTTAGATGTTTTTTCCCCCGCTAGTCTGAAAGAAGACATTATGAAAAGCCAAATAGGCCAAAATTCCCCAGTGCATGAAAAACAACGCTTTTGTCTGTAGTGTCTTGGTTTCAGTTATAAACGTGAAAGCTGGTTAAGATGCATATGCTAATCTTGCTAGATATGCTAGATCTTGTTTTCACCTGCTACAATGAAAAACTTAATGTAGGTTTGAAACAAGTTTCAATTAGAAATTGCTAGTAAATTTCACAATAATTTAAAGGGGTCATATGATGCGATTTCAATTTTTCCTTTCTCTTTGGAGTGTTACAAGCTCTTGGTGCATAAAGAAGATCTGTAAAGTTGCAAACACTAAAGTCTCAAATCCAACAGCAAGCAACACTTTGAAATAAACGTTACATTTTTTAAGTTGAAAAACGGAAATAGTATTTTCTTATTAGAGTTTTGTTACAACTTCTTCATACTCACACCTGATGATTTATTAATTTGACAAAAAAAAAAACACTTTTTATAGAGTGCGATAACTCCAAATACAGTAAACCTGAGCATTTTGCTTTGGGTCTTTTTGTTTGGTTGTGAAGGATACTGTAGGTCACTTCCAGGCTGTAGTTTCCTGGCGGTAGTGTCGGGGTCATGTTGTCCTTCTTCTTCTGAATGACGCGGTAGAGTTTTCTGAAGGTGGGGAGAGCAGCGGTTCTCATCCACACGATGAAATCCTCATTGATGAACCCGTTGTTCTCAGGATCAGACGGGTCCAGCTCGTAAACGGGTTTGTGCCAGTTTACGGGTTTACTTGTATCTGTGATAACCAATAACGCTGGTTAGAGTCGTGAAAGAGTATCATATTTTATACACCAGGCTTCTATGGCTCATAATATAGTATGATACAGTAGGAATATGGAGGAATAAACACCTCACTTTTACTCAGAGGCTCAAACTGAGCAAAAATATGCAATTTGGTGCAGATGCTGATATTTATACGACCAAACAGTAAGATTAAATTCTGATGCTTGTAATGTAAATCAATGAGATCTTTATAAATGTATAGCAGATACATAAAATAATAGAAATATTAGTCGTCACTCTATATCTCCCAATAATGTGTCTTTAGGGTGCTTTCACACTTGGTTCGCTTGCCTGGTCCGAACCCGAGTTCGATTGCTCCCCCTGCAACCGCTGGACTGCGTTCATATTATTTTGTTTGCGGTTCGTTTGCGTCATCAAGCCAGCAGCTGTTTACCCCGTTGCTTAGTAACGACGGCGCAGGAGAAGGCGGCAAATGCATAGCATTGCTCTCTGCACTTTTATATATTTACGTTTTTTAACCGTTCGTTTTGTTTACAAAGCTTCGGCACATAACGGCACTTACGTCTGTCTTACGAATGTACTGTAAATGCTCTAAGGAACGCTAAAGGTGAACAGAAATGAGACATACAGCTTTCTGCTTGCAGCACGTCAGTCACACTTGTGAGGAAAGTGAGTGAAACACACACACAAACACACACATGGAATACAGGTTTATTAGCAAAGTATTGATACCGTAGCATATACAGGGTTTAGCTTTATGCACCTTGGAACACAATGGAGAGGTTGTTGTTGTTTCCTGCAGGGTTTCTGAACTTCACATGCTTGTCAGTCCACCAAGCAATGCCCGTCTTCACCAGATGAATAGTTATTCTGCTTCCGTTTGGATGGTTATAAAACAGCTCCAAAGTATCTACAATTACGAAATCAAATGTCAGAAAGACCTTAGGTGTGTTTCACACAGCTTGTGTAAGCAGTGATATTTATTGTGCGGCTCTTATTAACTGGCTACAGCATTCACACGCACATGTTAGTGGAGCAGCAGAGTTTTGTTCTGTGTGGCTCAGTTTGTGTCCAGCGTCCCTGTTCCTCTGCTGTAAACTGTACAGCACTTATGCAACCGGTTGTGTTGCAAGATCATCCATTCACTCAACACAGCTATGCATTGAGATTCTCTCCTAAACGTGTACCGCAAGTGAAGATATTTGCACACTAGATGGCCGAGTGTATAGTACACATGAACCTGGCAACAAGCGTTAGTATTTGTCTTACCATTGAAGAGACTGTTAGCAATGGCACCACAGGGAGCAATGGGCTTCTTATCACTCGTTCGATAGGGTTCACACTCTTTACTCGGGTTCTGCAGAACAAAGACCTGAACACTTGAAAACGATATGACATTCTGTGCTTTCATTCCATGACAGGATTTCTCACAAATGATTAGCTATACGCTTGTCACGGCTGAAAAATGACAACTTTTTCATGAAAAATAAACAGTAAATAAAGACATTAGATATTGGAAATTTCATAAAAAGCGTATTTATAAAGTTCAGTAAAACCATCTATTTATACACAACAAAATGCCAGCAAATTGTACTCATGTTTTTTTTAATCAGTCATCATAAAGATACTCAAAGGCATTACCTCAAACCACTCACCAGTAAAGAGCTTTTATCTCCATTCAGCTGACTGTCATCTCTTGATTTGACGTAACGTCGATGGTTCTGATAGAAGTTGGAGAGGCCATAGTACATAAAAACATTACTCTACAAAAGAAAAGATGTAAACGCATTTTTAAAAAATCATCAGGTGACAAGGCACAAAATCTTTTGTCCTGGGGCTATTTTTGTTATTTACTGTATAGATGCACGTTCACAGGCAGTTTATACATAATTGATCTGAAACCTGTTAATGTATGAGCGGGAAACAATTCTATTTTAACCTATTCAAAAGCATGATCAATAAAATCTCCTCTAAAATGCTAATGCATAATACATGAGAGCTAATGCAACTTTAGACGATATATTTGACCAATAAACAGTCCACAGACCAAGTAAATACTGCAACCTAATGAAGCTACTGATAAATATATCCAACTATAAAGAGCGGTATAGACAAGAAAAGCCTCCAAGTTGGCCATATCACAAGAGAAAAGGGGGGAAAAATAGGAATTAAACATAACATTGAAGCATATCTTAATTTATAGTTTTTATTTATTTATTTATTTTTTGCATTTAAATGTAAATTTAACTAAATAAGAAATATAAAATATATATTTAACATTTTAATTCATTATTTCTTTTTTTTATTTAATATATTTTACTATAATATGTTTGGGAATAATGCAACATTTACTTTTGTCTCATGGCCCTCAATCAAGTTTGAATTTTGGCCTTTCATATTCGAAAGTTTAGGCAACTCTGCCACATCGTACATGCCATATTTAATTTGATTTGAGGTATCAAGTTAAATATTGTGTAATTTTCACAATCCATTGTGAAACAAGTCAAAGGTATCATGTTTCTGATAACATGATTCAGATAACATAATTTTTTTGAAAAGATGTATTTTTAATGTTATTTTGGCTGAACAATCAATACCAAAGCAAGTAACAGTACAAACCAATGGACAGACTATCTTCATTAATGTCAAATTAAACTTTAATGCAGAAAAATATGTATTTGAGCTCAAATATTTGGGTTTGGTATGATTTTTTTGAACGAAATCAATACTTGTATTCAGCAAAGATGCATTAAATTAATCAAAAGTGACAGTAAAGACATTTATAATATTACAAAAAAAAAGAAATCTAATTCTTTTGAACTTTCTATTCATCAAAGAATCCTGAAAAAGTATCAAAGTTTTCACAAAAACTGTTTTCAACATTCATAATAATAATAAATGTTTCTTGAGCAGCAAATCAGCATATTAGAATGATTTCTGAAGGATCATGTGACACTGAAGACTGGAGTAATGATGCTGAAAATTCAGCTGCACATTACAGGAATAAAAAATACAGTATATTATGCACATAGAAAATAGTTATTTTCTATTATATTACTGTTTCTACTGTATTTTTGATCAAATAAATGCAGCTTAAGCATAAGAGACTTCTTTCAAAAATCTAACTGCCCTCAAACTTTTGAATGGTAGTGTACATATATAATTTCATTCATGTCATACAAAAGGTTTTATTTTCTATACACACACAAACACACTCTCGCAACTCACACACTGTTAATTATTAGTATTTTTTTTTACATTAAAACACCTAAAACAACACTTAATTTCAACATATACTCGGCTGATTCAGATATGCAAAGCATTTTGGGAACTAAAGAAAATCCATTGCCCAAGCAGTTTCAATTCAATAAAAATAATTTGTGTTCAGACTACATGAATAATAAACTTCAGTTTTACACAATGAACAGAATAAAATGAGTTATGACCAAATGTTCAGCAATTGGAGTAATGATGCTGAAAATTCAGCTGCACATTACAGGAATAAAAAATACAGTATATTATGCACATAGAAAATAGTTATTTTCTATTATATTACTGTTTCTACTGTATTTTTGATCAAATAAATGCAGCCTTGGTGAGTATAAGAGACTGTCCAAAACAAACAAACAAAAAACTTACCAACTCTGAACTTGAACATAAAGGGAAGTATAATTGAATAGTGACAAAAACCAATGCATATAAAAACAGGAACCTCATCCGAACTGTAAAGAACAGTGGAGGAAGTGTAATGCTTTGAAGCTGCTTTGGTATTCTTGAAACAGGATGGCTTGCCATCACTTACAGCATAAAACATTAGAAATCTCAAGTTGGTCACACCAGACACTCACTCTTGATCTTATAGTTACTCGTCTAATTGGGTTCTTCATCTAGTTATAAGATTAGCACTGTGATCTGATCTTCAAGTAACCAAATGTATGCAGAAATAAGTGTTTAAAGGGATAGTTCACCCAAAAATTAATTACTCACCCTCGTGTCGTTCCAAACCCGTAAGACCTTCGTTCATCTTCAGAACTCAAATTAAGATATTTTTGATGCATTCCGAGAGCTTTCTGACCCTCCATAGACGGCAACACAACTGAAATGTTCTCAGGTCCAGAAACGTAGCAAGGACTAGTGGTGGACCGATATATCGCCAAGGTCGATATATCGGCCGATATTTGCCATTTTTTAAATATCGGCATTGGCCGATAAGTTTTCCTGTTTGGCCGATGCGTTCGAGGCATTTATTTTGACGGCACGACAGACTTTTATTTTGACGGCGTTGAGAGCGGCAGCGCCATAGAACGGTTAAACAAAGGAATTAAAATGTATACAAAAAGTGTTATAACGTATTATAACGATTGCTTTTATATTATTAGTAATAGAAAGGCAAACATTATAATACTTTCTCATTTGCCAACAGCATTCAGCAAATACACATTTATATCATTTAAACAAATATTTGAATGACTAATGAACATTTAATTTCAAATGCGGACAGGAGGAGAGTTCTGCTTCACTGGAGACATGCGATCGACAAACTTTAAACTCCTGAATTCAAATTATGCTGCGCTTTATGCATTTGCCCACTGTCATATTCATCTCATTTCCACAGTGTGCTGTGTGTAGAATTAGTGTTATCTTGGCTTTATTTGAAAAAATATGATTCCCAATGCACACAAACTTCCCAGAATACTGAGTGCCCTGTTGTTTACAGTTTACTTCCTTTTTTTCAAATTTCTTAAACATTAATTAAAATAAATAAAATTATATCGGCCATCCTGCTTTCCAAGATATCTGTCAAAAAAACAATATCGGTCGATCACTAGCAAGGACATCTGTAAAACAGTCCACGTGACATCAGTGGTTCAACCGCAATTATACGAAGCTACGAGAATACTTTTTGTGCGCAAAGAAAACAAAAATAACAACTTCATTCAACAATTCTTCTCCTCCAAATCACGCATTCCGCCATTATAGAAAGTACCACGATGCGTGCGTTGTTTACGTGCAGAGGTACTCTCGATAATGGCGGAAGACGTGATTTGGAGAAGAAGAATTGTTGAATGAAGTTGTTATTTTTGTTTTCTTTGTGCACAAGCTTCGTAAAATTGAAGTTAAGCCACTGATGTCACATGGACTATTTTACCGTTGTCTTTACTACGTTTCTGGACCTGGGAACATTTCAGTTCCGTTGCCGTCTATGGGAGGGTCAGAGAGCTCTCGGATTTAATCAGAAATATCTTCATTTGCATTCTGAAGATGAACAAAGGTCTTACGGGTTTGGAACGACATGAGGGTGAGTACCGTATTGACCCGAATACATTTTGGGGTGAACTAA